AGTGCACAGGATGAAGCTATACAGAGGCCCTCCTAACCACAGCTGCCATTTCACTACTGGAATAGTGAAAATGTTTTAAATGACAAGCAAGACATGTACGCTTTAGCTTTACCCATATGATTTTTGTGAAATATGCCTGAATATAAGTTGTATGAACATCAGAAAGCTATTCTTTTCACGTCTTACTTGTTCTCATGATCTTCTCAAGATCATTTAGTTATCCACATGAGATAAGAGTTTGCTCTTGTGTGTTCATTTAGCTTGTCTCTCTGCTCTGCATAGTGGTAAACATAAAATGCTACTTTATTCAGTTTCCTTTATTGAATAAAAGAAAAGGAATATTCTTAGGACTTTCTATTTCCTTTTTGCTGGAAGAGATAATCCCAGAATTAAACTGGTTCTCTTCCAATCTATCCTATGCCAGAATCTTATTTGCTTTTTCTGCTCTTTGTTTTGCATGTGATCTCTGTTATATTAAATCCTTTTAGCAAATCCTTAGAAATGTTTGTCGATGTTCACATTTTTTTCAGTCCAAAAGCTTTAAAGGTTCTTTGGTATTAGCAGAAGTAATGTGATTGAATCCTCACAAACCTAATCATTTTTCATTCTGTGCTTTCCCTAGGCCAGAGGTCTTCAAACGTGGCAGCTTTAAGACTTGTGGACTTTGTAGTTATAGTTATGCTGGCGGGAGAATTCTGGGAGTCGAAGTCCACAAGTCTTAAAGCTGCCAAGTTTGAAGACCTCTGCCCTAGGCCATATTTTATTTTTTTTAATGAGAGAGAAAAAAGTTTTCACATAAATCTTAATGTCTGAAATGGATGATGTACTAAACAATTTAAGTCTCGATAAAGACTATCTAAAATACCTAGCTAAATAACAGACTTTCTAAACCAGACTTGAAACTGAAATGATATAGCCTACCATCAGGGGTGAAATGCTTCCAGTTCGGACTGGATCGCCCGATCCGGTAGCGATGGCGGCGGGTGGTTCGGAGAACCGGTAGCAAAAATCCCTGTGTCCCCCCTCCCACCATGCCCAGCTGAGCCGCACAATCATCAGAGGCTTTTTTTTAAATTTATTTTTAAAAGCATTTTTTCTACAACCTCTTCCGACGAAAAAATGCTTTTAAAAGTTAAAAAAAAAAAGCCTCTGATGATCACACGGTTCAGCTGGGATTGTCAGAGGCTTTTCAAAGCATTTTTTTCTGCAACCTCTTGGCCGAAGAGGTGGTAAAAAAAATGGTTTGAAAAGTCTCTGACGATCCCAGCTGAGTTGCCTGATTGGCAGAGATGTATTTTTTAAAAAGCCTCTCTGACGATCTAATGCTTTTCAAAGCATTAGAAAAAATGCTTTGAAAAGTTAAAAAAAAAAAGTTGGCCATGCCCACCCCAGTCACATTACCTCCCCACACCAAGCCACGCCCACAGAACTGGTAGTAACAAATTTTACATTTCACCCCTGCCTACCATGAGTCCTAAACCTATTTTGCAGCACTCTGATGCTGCAGAAGATGCTGTCTTGCAGTCAATACTAAATAAGATTCAGTTCGCTTTAATATGTGATGTGGAAGAAAGTGTCACCTTATATTTGTTTCAGGAAACATTGTGTTGGCTTGTGCTGTCTGACTTCAATAACGGATATTTTGTTTACTGGTTACGCTTTCCCTGATCATCTGTGGAATGACCCCAGCTGCCAGGACCAATATTGCTTGCCCTTTCTATGCTCCCATTCTGGAAGCCCATGCTTGGAGTATTCTATTCCATTTTTGGAAGAAGCTGTTCAGGTTTTCAATGTCTCTTGCTTGACTTAATCAGTAGATCAATAATAAAAGTCATCATTTTTTATCACTACAATTTATAGAATTTGTATTTGCATTTCTATTGAATTTTTTTGTGTGACTTAACACAAAAAGAAATTCTGTTGAATCACTGTAGCTTTTTGTTGATCAGGTAAGAATAGCTAAATTCTCTCATCTGTCATCACCTGGCTTAATCTTTATAGACTTCAAAATTAAGCAGAGTTTGGATTTTTTTTGTGTGTAGTTAGCTAAGAGACCATAAAAGAATTTGTTAATTTTAAACAAGACAGAAATTTAAAAGAAAATTCTAAAGACAATAGTATGAATTAATTTAAGAAATACACAGATAGTCCTTGACCTATGACTTTAATGTAGCCTGCATGTTATGATCATAAGTTATGATGGTCATAAAGTGACTGATCCGATTTTATGATCTTTTTTGTAGTAGTCATTACGTGAATCACCATGGTTGTTAAGGGAATCTGTGGTCATTAACAATACTCGTTGTTTTCTATGAGAAATTTTTGTTGTGACCACAGGATCCTGCAAATAACCATAAATGCAGGATGGTTGCCACGTACCTAAAATGTAACCATGGGGGAGGGATGGCCATTGAGACTTCAGAATTGGATCAGAAGTACCTTATGGGGGGATCCATCATAATTTTGAATTATCGCTATATCATAGATCATGAGTTGAAGATTGCGTGTATCCTACTGACTTCCCTTCTGGGTGAGCTTGTGCATAACCACCAGCTTAAGAAAGAATTGGGGGTTATAGATATTTGCTGGTTGTAAATATACCCAACAAGACACACAAACACAAATGAATAACACAATTATTTTATTATAACTATCCTGATTAACAATAGCATTTATGTTGAAGTTTTGCAGAGAATGATACATACATATAACCATGGACCCTGACAGAGTCTCTAAGAATATAAAGAGGAGCTGATCAAAAGTAATTTTTCCATATACTGTTTATTGTTATAAAGATGCATCTGAATGGCAGCCTCCTCTTCCTCCTCATCACATTTGATCATGCAATGACATTACTTATGAGCAATTTCAAAATTATAAAAATGTAACAATTTTTATTGTTAATATTGAACATGTACAAGAAAATATCTGTCTCTTTAAAAAAAAGAGAAAACCTTCAACATTGGTCATTCTCTTCCATGCATCAGAGTTGTTTTCTCCTCAGATGGTGGTGAAAATGGGTTGCAACAAGCAAGGTGACATTAAAACAAAGATTTTTTTTGTCAACTAACCCAAAATACTAAAATTGAGCCCTGCAAATGTAAAAGTTGGATTTGGTTGCATGTTCCTTAGCTTGCACAATATATGGGCAAGGGTTGAACTCAACTCTTCTGTTTACAAGGTGAACTGTGAGAATTCACAGTACCACAAAGTGTGGCATGTTTTAATATCCTTTATTCAAAGATTCCTGGAACAGATATAAGCACACTGTTCTCAGTGAAATACTCTGCCATGTCAGACAAGTGAGACAGAAACATATGTCTTTCTGTACGTTCTCTTCTACAGCAACATTTGCAATACCCTTATAGAACCTTTTGCTTAAAAAAAAAATCTGAGGTGTTCCACGTAAATCTTAGGCCCACTTCCATTCACAGATGAAAAACATAATTGTGTGGCAAATGCCAACCTGTCTGGCAGCCTGACAGGGCTTATGAAGCCACACAATGAAACAGAAAGCCTGGGGACATAGAAATCAGGGATCTTCTCTCTCTCTCATTGTTGTATTTGCATTAAACCTATATATCTCTTGTTTTGTTATTATAAATATGAATCACATTAACAAATGGTTGTTATTAGGCAGAAGCCAGAATAACATTGGTTGATTGATGTTGATTGATAAAGTTGATTGATGTTTCTGATGGAAAGAAGTAAGAAGGGCCCATGCTTCTACTGTTTTGAAGGAGGACATTGAATCTGGTTTTGAATTTTATTGTGCTGTTCATGAAAGTGACTTGCAGTTTGTACAGCAATCATGCAATATGTATAAATGTCAATATTCTATTAACGTTTTATCCAGTTATAAGACAAAGAATGTAGAAGAAATATCTTGAAATTTTATACAGAAAAGAGAGAATTCTCAACAACTTCAGTGGCAGAGGGAAAGAAATCTGAATTTCACCTCTTCTCAGTTTTTGAATTTAATTCCTCTAGTCCTGTCCAATTCTGCATAAGATTTACTATACTGTTTTTCATCATTCTAATTAAAAAGCAGATGTCATATGTGCTTGCCTATATAGTCTTGCTATATTTCCTTGGTAACAGAATACAGGCTGTGAAGATGTCTCCTTTGGACACCATTTTTGGATCCCCCTTTGTCCAACTTGTTACTATGAAGATGTGGATCCCAACAGGAGTTATAGTAGAAGAGGAGCATACAAGGGAAGAGGAAGCAAAAGATGGAAGAGCCATTGTCCCTATGTTATGCTATCTCTTTCTGTGTTCCTGCTCAATCTGCCCTTTAGCAACAACAGTGCAAGTAGTAGCAACTTCCTCTTCTTCCTTTTCTCAGTTAGATATTTGAAAAACAGGATAAGGAGGAGTTTGGCCAGAGAAAAAAATGCTGTTCTTCGGATAGGAAGTAATAAAAGTGTTCCATCCATATCTGAAATGGAAGGAGGACAAGTCCCCTGAGTACAGAGAAATATATACTTCATAGTAAACTAGAAGGCAGGGTCTCATCCCCTGATTTTTTACCTTCCTCCAAATCATTACTAGGGTGAAAGATGGCCCAGCATCAATGGGGAATCCATCTGAGAGGTTGTATGAAGGCCTGGTGAGTTTTACATATGGCCCATCTTCTCCTTCCTTTTATATAGTTTTCAATACTGACTTTGAAGCTGAAGATGGCTAATACATATAGATTGATACAAGTTACTTCTAAAGCATAGATAAAGCATAGCAACATGAGTTCTTTAAATTATACCCCCAAATGTATCTGCTGAATGATTTTTAATTATGCTCAATGGACCAAACAATAAATACTGTGCAATATGCATCTTGTGTTATCAAACAGCAGTTTTTATTTCTCCTAAATATATACACTATTTTTAAAAGTAGCCTTCTAGACTTAAAATTTAATGGGAGAAAATAGTGCATTGTTTATAGTGACTAGCTTCCCAAATAAGCCATGAATAGACACATTTGTGTATTATCATTTCCAGGATGGAATGGGAAATCTCAGAGTCACCAAAAAAGGAATTCGACTTGAAGGGATATCTGAATTTCTACTTCCATTGTACGTGAAAGAAATCCATTCCCGAAAGGTAGGTTCCAACATCTGTTTTGCTACAATTACCATTTAAAAAATGAAAGATTTTAGTTCAAAAGAGTAAACTGTTATACAGGCTAGTATCTCCAACAAGATGTTTTTTAAAACAAGTTTACAAACTAATCAACCATGAAGCTTAATGTTCATGTGACTGCCAATTCTTTTGACTATACCATCATCTTCAGTCAATCGTTCAGACAAAATTAGACTTATAGTCAGCACACTGGAAATCATGATTCGGGGAAAGTTGTTTTACATTTCTCATATGAGTGTTGATGCATTTGTTCCCATGTTTCAAACATGTTTGATAGAGTGATAAAGAAAAAAAAATGAACAATATGGATCCAATCCAATTTATAAACTTTCATTTCAAAATGTGGCTTCTTTCTTCTTTCCAATGGTGAAATACAGCCTTTTTTTCCTAGTTTACAATTTCATATACATCTAGTTCACAAATATCATTGAATATCAGTTCTGAAAAGCACAGAGAACAAGATCAGTTAGCTTGTAGTCTTCTAAAGGTATTCATTTCTTTAATTTTACAGTTCTTATAACACAGATGTTGAAGTACAGAAACACATAGTTGACTTCTGTAACCAGTATTCCCCCAAAAAAGTGTTTTCTCTTTTTTTAAGCTTGTAACCCAACAGCAGATGAGATGCATACATAACTCAACATTAGGAAGAGACTGATTCCAAAGCAACATTTTGTAGTCACAGAAAGTTGATATATTTGGAACATAGGATAGTTTTGTTGTTAAGCTTGTTTTATATTTAATTATATTGTTGTAGGAAAATGAGAGTGCTTATATAAACAAAAGTAGGTATAAATGTTAATACCAGTGTAATACTAGGATCCTAGTAAGGATCATTATTTATACAATAGCAAGTTTATTAGTATTCTTTCTTTATGAACAAAATAGGTGCTAATTTTAGTGATGAAAATTTGAACAATCTGAATATACAAAAGTTTAGCAGGAAAATCATTTTATCAATCATCAGTTTTAAAAGATGAATATATAATATGGACAAACCGATCAAGAGTAAACCATCTCTATGGATTGCAGTTCATTTCTTCCCAGGGTATATATCCTTGTAGTCACAGGCTCTGTGCCTTAATATCTGCTAGATGACTTGGATTTCAATTCACAACTTTTTTTATCACTCACACTTTCTACAGATTATGCAGAGTTACTTGTTGGTTTGTTTGTTGCAATTATATCCTGACACAATCTGGTCGTGTACATCCTTTACAGTTGGAAAGTGTTTAGAACATTCACAGTATGTTTTACTGTGTGATTAAAAAAGAAAATTAACACATAGTTGTGCCAATCAGGGCCTGCAGTTGAGTCTGGGTAACTAGAATATGTCATAGAAGCATATCTGTGGCTCGTTCCCTGTGTGCTGCCCATTTATCAACTGTCACTGTATTTTTCTCTACCCATCACTATTGGAATTTTATAGCCTACTCCCATCACTTCCAAGCCTTTCCCTATTCCCTGTTCATGGCCATGTATATACTGGCTTGTGGGTCTCAGCCGAATCACCTAATCAGAAGAAAGTGGGGAAACAAGTTCCAGTGGCATTTCAGCATTAATTATCAGTGCCAGGAGCTCTCCCTCATCTCCAACCCCATTCACATACAATCTATGCAAACTCCATATGGATCCGGCCTATGGGGTACTTAGTTCTGGCCCATGGGGCCAACCTGGAAACAGTGAATGACTGGCCTGTGGGGCCTCTGCCAGCAAAAACAGTGGCAGGAGGCCGTTGCAGCTGAAAACAGAGTTCAGGATCCTGTTTTCTCTGGCAGAGTGCTTGAGGCATCCCCAATACAAGTAACATTGAGCTGGCCACACCCACCCTGGCCATGGCCTCCCTGGTCCCTCAAGGTCAAACACAATCCTGAGCCGGCTCTTAATGGAATTGAGTTTGATACCCCTAATCTATGCCATCCCAGCGTACACACATAGCTATGGTTGTTCACACAGTCAGCTAGATGTTTAGACTGGATTTGGCATTTTTATCAACCTCTTGAGTCCTTCCTAAGCACCTGGGATAGGCAGATATTGTTTGCTGGTGTTAAAGGTATGTCGCAAAGTGTTACCTGTTCCAAGTAAGCTGCCTTTCGCAATTGACTGGTGGTGATTTTTGTTAATGCTGATAGTATTCAAGTGGTGCTCCATATGTTTGGGCCTTGTACCCATGGTACCTATTACTATTGGTACTTTCCAGAGCACTTTAGCTTTTTCGTTTTCTATGACTTTTGCTATTTTGTGGCCCCACCAGTTCTTGCTTGCAGGCAAATAGTATTTCTTTCAGATCTTCCAATGCACCATTTTTGCTACTTTGTCATGCCATTGTTTGTAGTCATTGCACAATCTTCTTGCAGCAGCTAACTAGATGGTTCATTGTTTCTTCAACTTTTTTGCAGTGGCAGGATGTGTTGCTTTGTTCTCAGTTCTGAATGCTTTTGTTCTTAAGATTTAGTCTTATGCACCTAAAATTAGCCCCTTTGTATCATTCTTCCATTTTGATGTTCATTGCCAGTTTTTATGATCATCTTCTTTACCTGCTTTTTTTTAATCTATAGACCATTTGATACTTTACTTTGCCATGTCTCTCATATTTTCTTCATTTGACGTTTCTTATAGGCCAGTTTGGTCTCTCCAGGACTCAATAAGCATTTGTGGTATAGGAGCTTCAGTGTGTCTTCTTCACTGTTCTTCAATATTCATCCAATACCCATTTTTTCTTCTTCAGTTGCCTGGTACACTTGCAATAGTCCACAACCACTTATTTTTTTCCTTTTTACATAGAGTCTGTCAACATTGCTGCATGGCTCAAGGGCATGATTCACTGTCATTATTTTTCTAGTTTTCGTATCTGATCTTTTAGTTCTTCTTTTTCTGGCTTTTCTATCAGATCTAATAGTTTTTCCTTATATCAGACCCTTTAATTCTTCTTAATAGTCCATTATTCCAGCTGTGTATCTAATGACTGAAATTGCCCAAGTGTTAATTGCCTTGACAGTATTGCCTTCACTGAATTTGGATTTTACAATCTTCTTCACTTTTAATTCTAACCTTCTTCTTGACTTCAGTGTGCTTAATGTTGTCAGTTTGAAGAATGCCCAGGTATTTGTAGTAGTCTTCTTCATCCAGACTCTTGATTTTATTTCCATAGGGCATTTTGGAATTCCTTCAGTTTTCACTATTTGTCCCCTGTTGATGGTTAGGGTGGCACCTTTGTCTAGTCCAAACTCCATTGCAGTGTTATTATCATCCATAGTATTTCTTGTTCAAGAAATATTTTATGTAATTTAATAATTTAATAAATAAAATATGTATTAAATTCTTTTCATATAATAAATGTTGGGAATTGATGAACAATTGGAAATTTCATGAAGGGATCTGTGAATTGAAGAAATTTGGGCACCCCTGTTTTAGATGGTTTGAAGCAAGAAGACAATGTGACCAGAAGCGAAATATATTCACTTTCTGAAACATCCTTTTCCTCTCTTTCTGTTAGCTACTTTCTCTTTGTGATCTTTTCACTCACACATACACACATTTTGTCTTTCTACCACAGGCAACTGGCCAAGTGAAGGAAAAGATATCTGTAACTAAAACATCTGTGCCAAGAAGCTTAAATTTAGCCAAGGGCAGTTCTTACACTGAAATTGCCAATACCTGGCTTTATTCAGAGTTGTATTAAACCAAATCAGAAAGAGATTGAAAAGTTCAATCAGAAAAAAAGCAAACTCAACCTATCATATTATTGTTTAATATATAATTGTTTAATCATTTAAATTAGGCTATGACACCTAATAACTGAAATAAACAAGACAAGGGTAAAGTAATCAAAGGTACATTTTTAGAAAACTTGATGTGTGAATTCTTTCTCTATATCCTGTCACTTCTTCAGTTCTTTGTAGCATATCATTGCTAACCATTAATCAAGGAGTGATGTGAAAATGTTTAGAATCAATGAAGTGTAGAGAATTTTAATATGCATAGTTGTACTGAAGTTGTCAAGTGCTATTTTAAAATTTTCTCTGCCAGAAAATCTACAATAAGCACTGATTCTCTAGCTCCTTGGAATTAATTGGGTACAGTTTTTACAGGATATTTATTATTCAGGAAAAGTTAGTTTCTTGACAAGAATGTCCATCCTTCTTAATGCACTGAAAAGTTTGCTTAATGAAATTTCTCTGTTGAATATAATTTCTATATAAAATGACAAGAGATATAGCAAGAAAATCATTGGACAATTTTTAACATTGCTTCCTTAGCAATGTATTTATTGATAAACAATTATGCAAGCATGTAAGACTTTTAGATTGTTTGGTTTCTCTGCATACCTATATGCCTATACCTCAGTTGCACAAATTATATATTTGTGTGTAACAGAGAGAAAGAAAGAGAAAGGTGTACCATTATTTGATTGTAATCTTATTTAGAATCCAGTGGCAGATGCTGAAATAATCATTAAGTGTCTTCAAAGATAATGGGGCATATGAAATGGGCTACTGTATGCTGACATCACTGGATTAGGTCTTTAATAGATGATGATGATGGGCAATATTTTGTGTTCACAGATAATTTGATGTTTCCTCTTAATTCTGCCCATGTGCAAATAAAATGTTCAGACATTTTTTTTCCTTAAGGGGCACTAATGAAGCATAATCTTTAAGTAAATCTTCAGTAATGAGGTCACTTGAGTGTATTTAGAAAATGCAAATACGAGAGCTTTGATGTGCTGCTTGACACAATCAAATGTTTATAGTTACATAAATGACCTCAATAGAATTTATTTGATTTTATGGGTATTTAAATGAGTCTCCATATAATTAGACTTCTTTGGAAAATGTAGAATATATTTGAATGTGGAATGTGTCCCCTTGAGTCTACTGTATATCCAAGTGGGGATTAAATTACTGCTTTATTAAAGGGAAAGAAGAATACGGTAAGTGAAATAAAGCTTGATCATTTTT